AAACGGTGAAGCTTGGCGGCCATCTTCCTGTTATCACCGTGACTTGTGCAAGGAAGTCTGTCATTGCAACATTTTTTCTTTCTTTTGAAGCATGTCAGCTTGTGTTGCTATGGATGCACAAAATGCTTCTCGAAAAAAATTCCGGGCATTATTTTTCACACGTAAGTATTGATTTTCTTTTTTATGTATAGGAAATCTATGTCAAAAAAAATATCACAATTCATTTTCTTTCCAGATGTGAAAAAAAAAAGAACTTAAATAATAAAAATAGGTTATGTAATAAACTATAATCAAAATATGTAAATACATTTTAATGTTTCGGTTTATAGCTGGTATCTTCGTTCCTTAAGATACAATTCTATATGGTAGGATTTCATTGTATATTTGACGTTTAGTTAATCGTTTATAACTTCATGAAAAGTAAGAAATCAATGTTTCTATTTTTATTAATTGTAAAGGTGTTTAATAAAGCAATGCTTTTCTTATATATTAATTGTTATTCATTAGTTAAAAGTATACTGTTCTGTTGTTAAAATTTTTTTGCATTAAACTTACAATTTCTGGGAGTATAGTGATAAAAGTAAGTAAAATAGTTACACCAATTGAACATGGAAAGATGTATCCAAAACTTATATAGGTGTATTTCTGTAATTCAATTAATTAAAGGCAGTTTCTTTGAGATTAATAAATATGAATGCGCATAAACTGAAATCATTGAATTCACATAAATCTGTTTATTTATTAAGATTTATTTCTAACTAAGCAAATCGTGAAATGTGCAGAAACATCATTTTTTAAAGGCTTTAATGTTATGCGCATGCATTTAGATTCGAACTATTTCTTAACAATTTGTGTACATAGTAATTATGGATATTCATTATTACTTTAAAAACAAAAAAATCACAACAGCGAGGCATTTCATTATAAATTTAACATATTTTTACTGGAAAATAAATGCATGGAACAGCTTAGAAACACGTACATGTCACTGCTGTAATGCAATGTTTGAAGTCACAAAACATGACCGCTTGTTCGGTGGAGTTTCATTCCCCGATAGTGGAGGAAACTGCGAAACCCTCCCTCCTTCTATTCTAACCTCTTGGAAATCCCACCTTGGGAAAATTCACGGATTCAGCTTCTGATGTTTCAAACATCACGTGAAGCAGCACTAACGAGATCGTTTACAGACAACTCTTTGCTGAGCACAGGCGTAAATATAGCAGTTATCATCCGATATATGCAGATGGATCTGAGTGAAATGATTCATGTTCGCGATGGCATTTGTAATTTGGAAGATCACATAGAGGGCAAAAGTTTGCACTATGCTTTCCTCAGTTCTTAACATCTGAACTAACTGCAATATATTATGGTCTTCTCGTACATCTCGAAGGCTCTGCCAGTTATAAAACATTTAGTATATATACAGACTCGTACAGTGCTCTTGAAACTTTGGAATCTTTTCCCAACACTGAAAATCCTGTTGATAGTGGATCAGTCTGCACTCAAGTTGAATATAAACTTAAAGATTCGTGGATATGAAATCCTGTACTGCTGGGTTCCCGGGCATACGGGAATAAAGGAGAAAACGAGCTTGCAAGTATCATCAGCGGCAAAATCTGTTGTTGAACTGTCCAGTTCGCCTTATCCCTTTTAGCGACATTTGCTTGTGTCATCAAAGGGAGAAAGATCTTAAAAAATAGCAGCAACTTTGGGACGTTTCAGCTGTAATAACAAGTTGAGAAATGTAAAGCCTAGAATTGAAGCATTGGGATTTTACAAGAAATCGTAAGGAGGAAGTTCTTTTGAACTCGCCTCAGAATTGGTCACGCTAGAGTGACACATAACTATCCTTTGAAAAAACTGAGAATGAGCCTATTAGTTTCAAATTGTAATGTTTGTCTATGTGTCCGTCATATTTTAATTGAGTGTCCATATTTTACTAGTCTTCGTCAGAAGCATTTTAATAGCTGTGACTTACCTCTCGACCGTTTAATTGGAATAGAGGCTAATTGTAATTTATTTTATTATTTGAAAGATACTGGCTTTTACTACCTAATGTAATTTGTTTTTGAAGATTGTGTCTTGAATTTTAATGTGTGCTTTTACCTTGCTTATATATGACTTCATCCTCTGGATTTGGTACATTTGTCCACTTGTTTTTATTTATTGTATCTTAATTTCATCATTTGTAATCATCCCATCCTGTGTTTGGCGCGTTTTAATCATGTTTGGTTTTGAGCCAATAAACTCTCACTCACTCACTCACTCACTCGCAAGTCACACAACGTCTGTCAACAAAAGTGCCACAATTTTGCTATATCACATATCTTTCTGTGATTCAAAGTTTCGAAAATAACGATAAAAACTTGCTCCAAAGTTAACTTACTACACGAAAACCACAATCCAAATCTTAAACTCCGCTGACAGCCACATACTTTAGCAGCAACCATTTGAATGCAAATCCACACAAGTCTCTCAGAAACACCATTCTTCGTCCGACGTCTTATATCAGCTTCACATTTCGGTCACGCCAAACTCCGTGTCCTCACTCCCACAGAAATTCCAAAAATTCACTTCTATCCGCATAAACCCACCCGTGAACAAAAGACTCGTTAACAACTCCAACATCGTACCTTTTAATACTAAATTTACTTTCCACACAATCTAAAATACGCGACTGAAATCTTGCCACCACGTCTCTAAGTTTCACGTAAAAGGGTTGCCATACAAACAGCATCGTCCACCAAACCAACCCGCAGTACGGAATCGCGCCAAAAATCAGCGCAGAACACGTATCGCCACATTTGGTGATCTTAGGGCGCATATAAGAGTTGAGCCGTGTTTGAAAACGAGTACCTAACGGTATAGGTTCAAATTTTATCCACAGTCTAAAATTATAAAAATACAGTAATACCTGTCGAATTATTGGTCGTTAACGGCGTCACTCAGGTTAGGAAAATCTTTGGTGAGATTTCAGAAACTTACATTCAACTTCCATTTAACCAATGTAATTCTGGGAAAGATGTCCACAATTAACTTATCATTACAGTTAATCCAAGGATAGTTTAAAAACAAAGGAAGAATCAAAAATTCATATTTTAATTTACAGAAAAATACTCCTAAGTGTTGCTTACCTGTGTTTCCATGCAGTATAATCTGAAAAACAACTTCATTTGGAAATATGAATTAAATCGGAGTTCAAAACAAAATGAACAAATTACTGAGTTGGGAAGAAAGTGATTTCGGTTCTCACAAATAGATAGCATTATGTTCGTTTTATTCTTCTTCTGGCAATCTTTTAATTTCTTTTCTTTTGAGATTTGGTTCCTGACACTTTTAATTTGCTATAGAAACAACTTCCATGCATTTCTGTTTAAAATGTTTTTATAATCAATTTTAAAGGTGGAATGACAAACAAATATTTTCGACATATTTTACTTTTTTTCATTTCCATAAAGGCAAGAATATGGCAGAGGCTCGCAAAGATATATGTGAAGTTTGTGGCATTGATTCCTCAACACAACGCATGTGTCAGAATTGGTTTCAAAAACTTTCATTCTGAAGATTTTTTCACTTGAAGGTGACCAACGTTCTGGCTGACCTTCTGAAGTTTATCATGACAAAATTAAATTCATAACTGAATCGAATCGTCATATAACTATGCGAGAGAATGCAATTCAGGGTATCACACACATCAATTGAAAGTCACTTAAGATGTCTTAGACTTTTTAAGAAGCCCGATATTTAGTTTCTGAATGAATTGAAAAACATTCACTTAACACAATAAATCAAAACCCGCGTTAAACATTTCAAACGTAATGTAATCGACTCTTTTTTTCCAAAAGAATTATCACTGGTGTCGAAACACGGATCGTCTGCCCAAGCACTACAACGACAGACGACTTAACGGGATCAACCATCAACTCCATCCTAGATGCAGTCTTACTAGAAGACAACACTGAAAATGATGACGACTGTGAAACAATCTAAGTCCCCCAGCCAGCAACGACAACCCGCCATTCTCCCTGAAGGAAAGCATACGTATTATCAAGAACTAAATAAAAACAAGGCTCCAGGACTAGATGGAATCTACAAAAAGTAGTTAAGCTAATGCACGCCATAAACAAGAACACCATCCATAATCTCTGCAACAAACGCACTCAAATCCACATGTTTCCCCGACTGCTTTAAAATCTGACAAATCATTTTCTTCCTGAAGAAAACCAAATCCCCAGACAGTCCTCAATTATACATGCCCATCAACCTCCTGCCAACAATTAAATTTATAGAACGCAGCATAATAGGAAGAGTTAGATTCCACATTCATCATAGTAACAAAACTGACAATGGACTTACACCCACTCTGCAATCCTCAACATAGATCTAAAAGAATGCCTTCGACCCGCTTTGGTGGCCTTTAATTCTCCAAGCCATCATCAACTTAGAATGTTCAAATAACCTTTTCCTTAGTATTAAGGACGTTCTCAATAATAGAAATAATTTTATTCAATTCATTGGGACATGAAAAACACACTTTAGTGTATTCTAGAATGTCTGCTAACATTTCATGTAATTTTAGCATACGCAAATAATCAAATCATCTAATTAAACTTTAGAAGTTCCTTATCTTTGCCAAAATTTAATATTAATTAAACTGACTATTTCCTTTACGCAATTAAAGTCAGGAATCCTTGTGTGTTTTGCCTAAAGTAAATAATTCAGGTTTTCCAATTTTTAATAAACTGCAATAATTCGATGTAAATAAACAATTAAATGTAAAATCATTTCAATGCGATAATTTCATTTCACTTACTTACTTAAATAATGATAGCTTATTAAATGTTCTTTCCGCATCTGCATGCAGTTTTCATGCATATATACGTGATTTACTACTTACACATAATCATATCCTTTGCTTCCCTACGCAAATTTGTCTACGTAGCAATCACGTGAGTTTTCTTAAGAGTATAAAATTCCCGATAACCGTGACAGTAGCCTGAGCATTCGAATTTTAGTTCTTGTAATCATGAATGTGATTGGAGCTGTGATTTTGTTAGCGCTTCTGTGCGTTCCTATGTTAGCAGAGGTGTGGAAAATCCTTCCCAGTCCGGTAAGTCCGAAATTACTCTTTCATGCATTCTAAGGTTATTTTCTTATGTTTCTCGTGTCCCTTAAAATAATTTGAAAGATTTTTTTTATTCTTTGTGTGACTTATTTATTATTCCGTACGGTAAAATTAAATGTATTAAACTTTGGCTTTTTATCAAAATGAATTAAATATCTTTGCTGTTAGCTAATGTGCTTCAATCAAGTTCAACAACAGCACATAACACCAAAAATATGATGGTCTAATTTTTAACTGCGCCTTCAAATACGTATGGAAAACCTCAAATTTACCTTCGGTAGTTTAAAAGTTATCGAAATTTCCATGTTCGATAACGGTTTTTACTAGTGTTATAGCCTATTGGAGTATCAAATTGTTCAACTTCTTTTCGTCGCAAAGCTCAAGTAAAGGTTATATTATACGTATTGCATACATACGGTGCTCTTAAACTGTTAATCTTTTACATTTGAAAACTAGAATGATTTTTTTCTATATCCCAATTTTTTGTTGTCGTTCGCAACTTGCTCTTAATTTATTGTAATGAAGATAATGTTTTCATGTGTGTATTTCAATTTTGGTAAAACGCTGCAGTGAATTAACGTTAACGTGAATACCATTTTGCAAATTATACTTAAACTAAGAAATAAATGTAATTTTCTTGTTTTTTACTAGCGGAATATTTTCCTTAAGTCTAATAAGAATATCCAATATTATATGCCAAATTTATATTTCGAGGAATATGCAAAGAGATTAATTTAGAAACATCGTAGAAAGTTCTTAAATGTTAAAATTTTAAACAAGCAGTTTAAATTTTAAAACTCGTTGTTAAAACATAATCTAAAATCTTCAAGTCTCTAGTTTTCCAATTTCCCATTAATAAGCTCATCTCATTGATAGCTAATCAAAAGTTTCTTATTGTATTTATTTTTTATTGTTCTAACGCTTTAAATATTTAAATACCAATTCATTGCAGGAACAATATAAACTTCGCGTATGTTTAGAAATCTTATGTAAAGTTTATTTAATTCTAGCTATAAGACACTTGGATTCACAAAACCCGCCATTTCTGTTGTAAAAACAAAATGGTAGTTTCGCAAGCTAGTTCTTGCCAGTCTTTAAATCTCGGTGCGTATTTACCGCCAATCTTCTCGTAATATAACAACGGCTTGTATTGAACAAATAAACCCTGTATAAGCTCATAAAGATGTTTTGTATTGCACTAAAATGATTTGCCACTAAGGGAGATCTAATACTGCCTTTCTTCTAATGATTAAAGTATGTATCACGAAGTTTCGGTTCATATATCAAAACAGCTAACAAAGACATCAACGTGGTCTTGTTTTAAGCACTGAATGTTCACATGTTTCGGCATTATAGGCACAAAATATCGGCTTTTCCTTTTCACTACGAATAAAGTTGGTGCAAAACTTGCTCGAAAAGCAAATAGTTATGAACTTAATTTCGAATTATCTGATTTTTGGCTTGAACAGCGACACTTTCGTAGTCGCATGCTAGGTAGCTTTGTTAGCTCACTTGCTGCAATACTTACGAACTCTTAACCGAAAAACGTTTTGGCGATTCCCCTTCTTGGTGTTTAAACTCGCGGAACGCTAGTACCTCATTTTAGATTCATTGGTAATGGAAGTAACAGATTGTACAAGGACTTTAATATCATCCTCGTATGTAATGCAATATGAACTAATGTCTATTTGAAACTTCTCCGTGAAAGAATATTTTGCCAGTGCTTTGTTGCAGTTGTCAATTCGTGGCATCTATTCAGTTTAGTGAAAATGCAAGGAAACTTCAACATTGCTTTTATTTTAAGCATAAATAACTGCTCGTATTCATATATTTCTCAATTCGCAGTTCTTTAAGTCTTCTCAGTACCTTCGTTTCCATTTACTATTTGTACAATTTCGATACACGAACGCTATGTTCCTAAACAGACTAAGACATCCCGCGAAGAACTCGTGAAAAGAAATCTACCGCTAGATTAACGTGAGACATTTTGACATTAACGTCAAAACCAGTACATGGGTTGCTTCACTTTCTGAATTTCGTCTACTGTTGGTATGGGCCTTGGACCTGTTTCATCTCGGACCTAGCTTCGTTCCAATTTTGAAACAATGTTTCGGGAAACGAGCCTAAAGAGCATTTCTCTTCCTGTACCATCATCCCCCCGAGAACTTTCGGCTCGTTTTGTCTTAAATGCTCGTAGATCAAATACTATCCACTTCCAGTCGTGTCTTTTGCGGTACTCGGGCTCAAAATGGCAGCTATCGGCGCTGGCCACTATACTTATCAAAGGCGGGTAAGGAAACTTGGAAATACACATGCAGCCATTATTTTCATTCTGCATGAGAAGAATCGAACTGATATTCAGAGATCTTATCTACTCGACCTATAAACTTAATATTGTTAAAAGTATCCAGTAAAATTTCTGAAATTTCTTAGTCTTTAATCTCATTTGGAAAAACGGCATAAAAAAACATCCGGAGGCAATCGTAATTTAACTTGAACCCTTCCAGTATCATTTCAATTCAGATGCTCATCTGAATCTAGCAATGCATGCGTACGAATATGTGGTATAACACCAAGATAATTTGAAGCATTCTCATGTAATGTTTTCTTCAATGCGGAAACTGATTAATTATCGATAATAATGCAAGTTGGACGCCAATGCAGTCCTCATTCTGATGGAGTTGGCAATTCGCATCGCATTTTGAAAGCATACTGTCGCATAAAATGTTTTATGTACGCATTTTTACGGGCATCTATATGCAATGAGCCTAAGAAACATGTTGGCTCAACCTGGAGCTGACGTTCATGGCTTGCGAATGCTGCTAACGCGCTTTGACTATTGCTTTAATAATTTAAATTAGAATAGCATATAGATTCTACAAATCTAGATCTTTGCATAGCGCTTCGAAACTTATTTTGGTAATAAATGAAACTTTCATTTAATGTTATACGTTTTATTTTAGCCCCGAGACAGACGAGTCTGCCGTCCAACGAAACCATGTGCATGGGTAATATATGAACCTGACACCAAAAGATATTATGGCTATCTTAGGACCAAGTAAGTCTGCAATGTCTGTAGTTTTGTTAGTTAAACAGTACGTTCTGATTTTTGAACTGAACACGTTTAATTTTTAAATTCTAAAATACTAAATGCCTTTAATTTAATCATTCTCTATAATTTCACTCTCATTTAAAATCTATTTACCCAATATGTGGACTTCGTACTTGGCTGTTATGTTCTAAAGCTTCTTAGTCTGAAACTTGATGCATCTCAGTTTGTTCTAAATTTTAAATCTATTCTACATATTAAGATACAAGTACGATAAAATAAATCCAAATACGAAATGTTAACACCAGTACTAATGTTTCTTTAAAACTGAATAACTGGGCCGCAATTATGCAAATAGTTAAACTGCGAGGATAAATTTTAAAGCGAAAAGTGTGTAGTACTTAATATTTTTTCTCATGTAAATCGTTTTCTTAGCTCTGTGTTAAGCTCGTACTAAATGATTAACGAATACACGCATGCTGGAAACTTAAGATCTTAATGATAGTTTCATAGAATTTGGGTTAAGCTAGAAGACTAGAAATTATTGCCATACACAGCTAAACTGAATGCTCGTGTTTTTAAATGCCTCACGTCATTTGGTAACTCGAAAAGCTTTGAAATGGAATAGTGATATGCGTATCATACGGTGTTCAATTTACTAAACCTAATTTATACCTCTACACCCAATTTATACTTGGATCAATGTATAGTAAGTTTCTATTAATTGCAGCATTTTATTATGAAAAGCTTAAGAACTTGACAAGTCAAGAAATGCCTTGTTAGTGTAAAAGTAACGAAAGTTGAAATTGGGGTATATATCGACATTCAACCTAAATTTGAGGAATCTTAACTGCATTAAGTTCAAATTTTAAGCAACTCTTCTCGATATTGTCCATTTTAAGATAATGCCCGTTCCTCACATAATTGTTCTAATTTTTTTTTCCAGATGCGACTGCAGAAGGAACCAGAGGTGCTCATTAAATAGGGAGATTCCTGATTTATTTCGATATGAATATCTCTGCACACTCCGAAATGTAACGTCGAGGCGAAACCGGACTCGGACATCTGATTCTGAAAACACGACGGAGACTGAACTCCTTGTCCAGACTGAGATTTTGTGGAATCTTACCTCTTCCCCAATCATGGATACATGGAATGAAACAACTCCAGTGACTAATTCGACTTTCGGAATTACGTTCATTGCATAATTCTGCCTCCTCCTGTTCTTAATGTTCAGTTTTAACTTGCTTTTAATTATTTTAAATATTTGTATACTTCAGCTAGAATAAATTTTAAACGATTTTTAAGGACAATTATGTTTTTAATTTCCAAGGTTGACTCCATTGACTTCACAGACAAAACAAACTTCAATTTACCTATTTCATAATCCTACATCTTGACGAGCCCGGATTTGTTTTGTGTACTTTAGTTCAGATTTCGGTGATCATTTAAAGTAAATGCAGTAGCTTTGAAAACTTTTCAGAAGAGGTTAAAAGGATTTCTAGCTCTTAATTTTATCTGCATGCACGAACGACTTTTGAACCTGTACCTAGTACTCTGACAAACGCTAATCGTAAACAATGCAGCAGTTGGTTAAATGGTCTTCCTATGTAATAAATTACTCGTTTAAATATCATTGCAAACTGAACTAGGATTAGCAGATGCTTTTTGCAAGGTGTAAAGGATTATTTACCCTAGCAGTGGCTTTACGGATGCACGCGTTTTCCATAGTAAGTTTACATTCGGTTAAGCCAGATGAAATTGAGTTTAGAAACTTCAGGTTTAAAATTTAGCTGTTAAATCGGTAAGTTTTCTTAATTTACTGAGCTTTTTAGATGAAATGTTACAGTGCATTTCATCTAAGCAAACTGACTGAAATTTTCATTCGTACTCTTAAACCAATTTTAAGTTTCCTACGAAACTTTTTTTTATTTTCCAATGAAAACTGGTATTGAACAGTCTTCCAAATATCTGGGTAAAGTGATTCTATAAATGTCAAAGTTGGTAAATGTAGGATGTACTAAAGGTGTATCCCACAGGCAATAAATAATAGTTGGTAACTAATAAAGTATACATGTAAAGACGTCGTGAAAGTGATGCTACAATTTTAACTTTTAAGTATATTTGAAGTAAATTTAAGTATACTTCAGTCAGCTATAAAAGATAATTTAAAGCTGGAAACTACATACACAGAAATGAATAATCCTCAGCCTTGCTCTGTATTAAGCATTCACCAGTGATTTCTTTTTCTGTGGTTTTAGTACAGCATTCGAAAGTAAAATAAGTAACTGGCGTGTCTTGGTTTAAGAATGCGTCTTTCTTGAATTTTTATTAGGATTTCTTGCATTTATGTAGAAAGATCATTCTGTGCTTTAAACGTGTTTCTGATTCTCTTTGGTATCGAACATGTAACCATAAAATAAATCTCTTTATTTTGAAGTTATGTTTAGAGACTTCCATCAGCCCAGTGGTAAAACTATGCACAGTAAAACATAGTAATTTTACAAAGACCTGGGTTCTAATCCAGACAAAGTCTGATTGCATGAGTTTTCGTGGAATGTTTTTCATAATAATGTACACACTAGACTGTTTCACCTTAAGTTTCGTCAGGAATATATTTCTCCCCTTTGGCATGAAAATCTTGAGCGTTTTGCAAAAAAATTAAATAATGCCAGTAACCTTTCAAAATGAACCCAAGTAAATAAAGGCAGCTTTCTAGGAATTTCGATTTAAAGTAATGGGTTTAATTTCTTTTATTCCATTTGACAATTACGCGGTTAGCTGCAATTGAAATTAAAACTGAGCATAATATATTTCATGGTTTAAAAAATAACTATTCTGTAATTCTGCTGTAAAATGAGCTTAGCTAACATTAGTTTTTCGATATTCAGTCTTCGTCTTCAAGCGTCATTGCATCAACTCTTGAAAATTTTGAATTGTCTCCAAAGGGTTTCATCTCATTCTCCAATTTTTAAACTCGCCGGCTCAGTAACGATTATTGGATTTATTTATTTGAAGTGCATCAAACGCAAAAGCCGCTATGCTGTGACACTTTTCTGCTGGTATTTACTTTTGTCCCTTGCATGGTAAAGTCGTTGAACACTAGTAGGTAGGTCCGATGTTTGAGTCCCTTGAACGGCCTGGTTGCATAGGCGTTTTCGTGGTCTTTCCCATGTGTAACATGTATACGAGCCAGTTTTCCTTAGAACGTCCACCACGAAGGTGCCCCTTCCCATAGGAAGATAGCCCTAGCGTGCTTGTCGCGGTATTCTCAATACACCTTAGTATATTAATTTCCCCCTTTCATGCACTACGAAGCCTCCCGTTTATTAAGATAATAATTTCTTTCTGTACAGAAAGCTTTGAACCCAACATGTTGGCAATTGAGAAATCATTAGCAATTCCGAAATCTTTCTTATCCTTAGAAAATTTTTTAGTAAAAGAGTTTGCAAATTTATGTATGATGGGAATTTGAATTTCAACTTGGAAGAGATTTTGTTTTATCTGACGATACATATGCCTTAACAATTTTCCTTTGTTCCTAATCGAATATCTCGGTATCTGTAAATAATTATTTCTCTTGTCTCATACTTTCTCTTTTCTAATCTATATTTTCTACGTAAGTCTTTCCAAAGGAAACTAAATGACCTATATAATGGAAATGATGCTCAAAAATCAAATGATGAGGTGGCGTTCTGTAATTCATTGAGAATGAAAACAACAAACTAATTCAAAACTGAAAATGTAAAGCTTTCTCTGCCATAATCTCATAAACAAAACAAAACAACTTTCCTTTTTGAAAAAGCAGGTTGCGCTTTGTCTAAAGTTTTCTGAAGTGTAACCCAAATTTGGGCCAATTTTTTTCCTTCATGGAGGCGTCCTTTTCCATTAGTATATATTGTGTTCCAAACCTTCTTGCCTGTCCTTTTTATGGCTATTTACAATCGAAATCCCACATTTCATTTTATTAATAGTGGAAACGTGAGGCTAAAGAAAGTGAGGCATTTCGAGTCTGCTAAATTTGATCTCTAAATACGTATGTTTAATAAAAGTGTACATGAATCTACTGTTACAAATGGGTAATAACTGCCAAAATCTGCACTTAGGAAAAATATGAAAAAATTAAAAATATTCGGTGATTTTCAAAGTGCTATTCCACGCGTCCTCAGATATTCGTAGAATAAAACTTCAACTTGTAGCTTAATGCGTAATCTTAATTTGTAGACATTCGATTGTGTGCTTGTTTATTTACAGTTAATTTACACATTAAATAAAAAATATTTTGTATGTTTTTCAAAATGGCTCATTTATTAAATGCCGTAGATTTCATCACAAGTGAACAAAATAATGCTAAATCGTGAGGAAACGGATTAGGATGTGAAAACTATGGTTTAAAAAATCTTCAAATTTTTCAGGGATATTTCTTTATTGAAATACCTAGGTGTGCAAAAGGTAAAACTTTCACATCCGATTACGGATTATATGTGTAGTAACGATGAAATATAATCAAGAAAAACTAATATTTTGCGACAGTTAAATACACCGGATTTGCTAAAATTATCAAACTGAGAATTGTAGTTTGCAGATCAAATGCGGAAACTGCTTCAAAGTAGGTAAATATGTCAACTAATGAGCAATTGCTAAGTAACTAAATCGCATAGATTGAAGCCTATCGGTGACCAAACACGAGTTAAATCATATAAATTGCGGTAAAGTTGCTAAACACCGGTAGTTCGGTTTGATGTTCGAATCCCACGAACGGGCTAACTGCTTGGGCGTTTTCATGGTTTTCACCATATGTAACGTGTATACGAGACAGTTTCCTTTAGAATGTCTAGGTCTTCAAGCGGTAAAATCACTGAACACTGGTAGTTCGGTCCGAGGTTCGAATCCCGCGAACGGGCTGGCTGCATGGCCGTTTTCGTGGTTTTCCTCATGTGTAACATGTTTTCCCCATGGGTTTCCCTTAGAAAGTCCTCCACGAAGGCAGATACCCCTAGTGTGCTTTGCCGTATCCTCGATACACACCACCTTTAGAACGTCCTTCACGAAGGCATCCCTTCCCTTAGGTACACAGCTCTGGAGGATTTGCTGTAATCACATAAAACCAAACCCGTATATAAATTGACATATTTTTAAATGTAGAATTGCAAAGTTTGTGAAACATTGAGGAATGAATTTCGATAAAGTAGTATAATTATTTCCATAATTTAGAATATTGTAAATAGGAACAAACGGGAGTACTACCCGCTCATGTAGAAGTCAACAATGTTAAAACTTTAGCTGCGTACACGGTATAAATTGACCGTTGAAAAAACGTCTGTAACTGAATTTGGATATAAAAGCACTGTCTTTGCGACTTTGTGGGATTTTAAAATGCTTCCAAGTTTAGTCAGGGTTCGTCATTGAGATGAAAACTATCTGTTTAAAATGGCTTCTTGATTCTTTAAGTATTTAGAAGCTAATTTTATGATTCAATTTTTTTAATGTTAGAATCTAATGCGCCATCGAATCTAATGCGCATCCCCATTTTAAAACTTTAAATAATAAAAAAATTGTTTGTCGACGAATGTAATGTGCATCAATGGTATGAGGAATTTATTGAATCTTATTTTATACAACAATGGATTTTTATATAAACAATCAATGGTATGATAATTTTATTTAAATTTAGATACCATGTTTTATACATTAATGGATTTATACGTAAAGTAGCAGAACATAGAATTGACCTATTAGTGGGCTATTGTTATGTGAAACAATCATTGTTAATTACCACTACCGTATATACGGTACCTATCGTAAAATATGAACATGAAATAAATCGTAATATTTCTATCTAGCTAACAGTTTCTAGAATCAGTGATTAATAGTAAACGTCTTTATTCATTAATGTTTTCATCACTGGAATCCTCGCAGCTCTCTTCGTCAGAAGCAGATTCATTTCTTCTTTCCTCATCGTCGTCATCGTCATCCCCGGCGTTCCAGAGCACGTCATCTTCACTGCCATTCGATGAATTTGAAATGCAGCATTTCTTGAAAGATTTCATAATCATTGGTGCTTCGATTTTTTCCAGGCAGCAGAAACCCAGTGTGCAACAATGTGCGGTGCAGCACGCTTATTTTTCCTGTCAGGGTCAATTCACGGTTTGGCTCACAAAACAATTTTTTGTACTCCGCCTGAACGTACCCATTAAAAGGTTTATTTATACTAACGTCCAGGGGTTGTAACACAGACGTCATCCCTCCAGGAATTATAACAAGATCACTGCCTAGTCTGTGCATCTTCTTTTTTACGTCGTCGGTGAGATGA